CTTCTTTAATTTTTAGGATGTAGGACTTTGTTTCTGACAGTAATTACCTTTGCTTCATGGATATTACAGCCTGGCCAAAAAAATTGAATTACGTATTATTTCCCCAAACATCTATATGTGTACATGTATGTATTATATATAATTTTTATTGGAAGAATAGGTTGGTTTTTTTTTTTAAGAAATAGGTGAATACAAGCTTAAAATTAGAACCTGTCCTTTTCCAGAAAAGTAGCTATGGAAATCTATACTAGCCAAAGCAAATGTGTTGTATTATAAGATTTTGACCTCTTGTTATCAGGTGTAACCAAACTATATTTGTTGCACAAATGTTTATGATACAAAAATATTCATAATAATACATATTAAAATCTAATTTGACAATTAAAATGTATTTTTATGGAAAGAACTAATATTCTTTTCATATTTTGTTTTTCCTTTTTCTGTAGCTGAGCATCGTGAACATAGCATGTTCAGTGGTGGATTCAAAATGCGGAAATTGTGCAAGTTTTGTGATGTTAAATTAACAACCTGCACCAACGAAGGTCATTGTTGCAGTAACTGCAACATCACTGCTATTTGTGAAGGCGAGAATGAAATCTGTGCAGCTGTTTGGTAAGTTTATTTTAACTGTGTGCAAGAATTGGTATTGTGCAAGAATTAGTATTTGATTCATAATTCCTTGTTTATCTGTTAAATATACTTTCATTCATAAGGGCTCCGTTTGTTGCATTCTTTCCAGGGTTGGGTTTTTGTTTTTGTTTTGTTTTAAATTTGATTGTAATCTCCACCATACTTTTTGGTAAAAAGTGCAAAATGTTGTGATTGCTATGACAGTTTTCAAATGAAAACCAAATTTTGTTTCAATTAATTTTAATGATGCATGGATTCAGTCTGTATAAGTCATATTCTTACTTTTCATGAGAGTCATTTCCTTGCAAAATGAAAGAAATGTATTCTAGTGAAAGAGGGCCTGTGTATTTATGAAATTCAGATAGTTACATCTGATAGCAAGTTCCAGTCTTTTAGGATACAGAAGCAAAGCAGATGAGTTAGGATACAATCTCCTCAGAGGATGATCACCATAAGAGCAGATTTGATTAGAAGCATATTAAGGGACACCTATGTAGATTCACTCCAGTATAGCTCATTATAAACACAGAGGTGTACAAAGCTATAGTAGATTCTGTATCTTGAAAGCCATGTGGAACTTTAAAAGATACTCGGCAAGATTTGACTCAAACTTATTGATCTGGTTTAGATTATCATATTATGGCTTAATAAATAGAAGTTTGAGCAAGTATTTTTGACTTTTTCTACATCCCTCACAACATAATAATTAAACTGGGAGACTTCTAATTAATCTCAGGTTTTAGTTCCAATTTCTAGTTTCTAATTGGAAATTATGGTTACCAGCTTTCAAACATGCCAAGGATATTAAATTGATTTTAAAATATTGGCTTGTTCCAGAAGTGTTGATTACTTTTCTAATTTATACACTATAAAGAACTTTGATGATGAGTTCTATAGGATGATTACTCATGCTGTGAAGATGGCAGGTTAAGATGGGTAGTGTATTATATTCTTCCCCTCCCTGTCTGCCATCACTACCATTTCCATTTTACTATCTCCCTAACTTGTTGGACAACTGGTTGATTGCACTTTAGCTTGCCCCTCAGTATGATAAAAAATATATCTGTTCTACAATATCATGAATGACATGAACCAATTTCTGTAGATACACATTTGTCTGTTTCAGAGACCATAAGATGTTGCTCCAAGCATTTATATGTGCATATCCAATGATTCCAAATCCACATTCCTCAATTCAGTTGTTGGTTTTCACTGTGTTAATTCAGGTATAGAATGTGATGAACTAAGATGATCCTGGTTTGTTTCATTTCACAGTAAAGCAAGTCAAGATTAATCTTAGATGTATACAGGATGTGCACCTAGAGGTTATTACATCAGTGTAGATTAGGATTGTACAAATTATAGCCCACCAAGCTGGATATTGTCTGTATTCATTTATGGTCCATGAAAGGCTTACTATACCCCCCCCCCATCTGCTATTGAAAGAAAAGTAGATTACCATCCAGTAAACTATGCATGGATGGCTGGTAAACTGCATTTGGCTTGATGGATAATTTGTTACGCTTATTTGAATTATTTGATGAGCTGGATAAATACAGGCCATTTCTCTTGTCCTTATATTACTATTTTTTGTATCTAGGCTTTCCTCTAAAGTGGTTCCCAAGATGGTTCAAAAGTATACAAGTCCATGCAGACAGTATTTCAGTGAATATATTTTTACTGTGATGGAAGATAACATTGTACTTTCCATTTCAGATATTTAATGCTGTTTAAGTTACTGCAGTAAACATTATAGAAATATTATAATGATAATACCTTGAAACTTACATGAAATTTAGTTTTGGCACAATTATTTTTTATGCTATATTCCCCCATTTTCAGTTGTCTTTCTTTAAAAAGAAATGTTTGTACTTTTTTATTTTCCATTGTTTTTAGGAGAAAGAATAATGGAAACATAACTCTAGAAACAATATGCCATGACCCTATGCTAAAGCTCCATGGATACAAATTGGATGATTTCAATTCAAAAAAATGCATCATGAAAGAAAAGAAAGGAGTTGGAGGACTGCTATTTATGTGTTCCTGCAAAGATGATGAATGCAATGATGAAATTATTTTTTCAGAAAGTAAGTGTGTGTTGTAATCCATTTTGTATATGGGTGCATTTTTTAGCTGGGATTGTCCAGCTGCTAAAGAAGGCTTTCATGGAAGTCACATGTTTCTGAAGAAAGATATGGTTGCTTTAACAAGTCAATAAAATTGTGAAATATTCCATGCAATTGGCATAGTAAACATACAGATCAAAAGATTTCTGATTATTATATTTTCCTCCAAAGTAGCATTAGTGGAATGATTCATAAAATAATAACTGAAGGAAACATCCTCATTCAGTGGATTCTGACAGGCAGTGCTCTGTGATCTCAATTATTGTTATTCCATAAAAGCATGCATGGAATACTGATATTTGCAACACTAGCAAAGATTAACTACACATTTTGGAATGAATTAATGATTCATTCCAAAAATGCAGAAGGGGAAGGAAGGGGAAAAACCCAGGAAGATGAAATATTAGAATGAAAAGAAAGTGTTCGTAGCAGTTTGTGTTCTCGTTACTTTGTTTGAAATCACCTTCTGAGATCCTAGAGGGGTATCATCCCTGGATTATATGCTAGTTACACGTAGCTTTGCCTTTCATTGTAAAGATTTTAGTGTGATATTCCGTCCAGAGAGTGACTGCCTACTGGTAGTGGGACCTTTTGCTTTTGATTCAGTCAACCCAAGCAAATCATTACAAGTTCATGACCGACAGATATCTTAGACCTGTTTGGACAAATAGGTTGGCAATGATTCCAGCTCAATTGTTGCCCCTCTGGCCATCTGTTTGAAACAGTCTATACTGAAGCAGCTTAGTTTCTTTTATGATTCTCCATAAAATCATAAATGGTCATATTAACTATTTTCTTCACATGGTACATCTTTCTAAAGCTTTCTGAATTTGAGTTGCAGTTGCATCTCCTCATCTCTTTTATCACTGGGTAATAGATAATAGATATAATAATACAATATATTAATAATAGGTAATAGATTCTGATGGAAAGCTTAATGTATGTCAATTGTCCTGAAAATAAATATTGATTATATTCTAAAGTTCCACCACACTTTGGAAAGCTAGTCTGTCTTTACCTTTTTTCTGTTCTTCCACTCAAGGGAAGAATTGTGTGCATACAGCATTATTACAAGATTTGTAGAGAACATCCAAATCTAGTCAACCCATGGGAAAAAGGGTGATATCTTGTGAAAAATGTGACCTTTGGATCGTGAAGCTAAAAAAGCAAAGATCATGCACAGTGTTGTTTCACAATAAAAAAGATAATACTGTATCAAATCCTTTTTCATTTTCTGGGTTGAGTAGGTTTGCAAGTATTTTAAAGAGAAAAATGACATATAAACCAAGCAAATAAATAAGTAAATAAAAGTCTTGAGATAGTATGAAAGATAAAGAGTTTGTACTGGATTTAGGGGTAAATAAGAAGTCACTATGGATTTGAGGGCCATTGCATGATCAGACTGATTTGGGGAAACAACAGAGCTGGACAGCAATTGGCTGAAGCTGTGGAAGACCACAAAGGAGATAATCATAAAAGTTTGAATGAGAAAAAGGCAGAGGAAGATACAGAGGAATGACCATAGGTTCTTTTTTTGTAAAGGGTGATGTGCCATGACTTGACAGTAAAGACATACGATCAAGTCTGTTGGCTGTTTGGCAAGATGTATGGTAACACTGATAAGTATATGTGTTATGTGATGTAGACCTGTTTTTCATATAGAGGAAAACAGAAAGTTCTGTCTTGAATATTCTGAGATGGTGATTTAGCATTCAAGTAGCATCTTTAAACATGCAAAATGTAAGCATTTTAAAAATTGTGCATTTAGAAGATGAACAGTTAAAGCATTGTACCCCAAATACTAAACAAACAGCAAAAAGACATTTTCCTTAGGCAAATCTGACTTCTCTTAAACTAAATCAGTTGGGTTTCTTGATTATTTGTCACTTCACAGAAATGAGCAGATGTATTTCACTTGCATCTTTTTTTATATTATGAAACCATTACAGATCTTTAATATTATGTGGGTTGTAAACTCATTGCTTCAGATGTGTAAAATCCCTAATGTTGTATAATCAATAGACACCAGGTAACACTGTTCCAGAGTCTTATTCCTGATTTTTGAAACTGACATTTTAATCTATCTGTTGATTGAATGGTGTCCAGTATTTCAGTATTGGCAGTCAATAACTAATTAATGATTTCTACTGTTTCCTGCACCTTACTTACCCACTTATGAAAAAAAAAGTAATCTGCTTATAAAAACTGAGGACAATGGTTGCAGATTAGAAGCAATCTAGATTTAGTTTTGTGTGGCATATGCAACAGTATTTAGAGGTGTCCAAATCCCATAAGTTCACTTCACTGTGCTTCTGGGATGCTCATTATGTCAGTGTTGTCCTTTAAAACTAGGTTCCCCATATTTGTTCATTTCTTGATCTATCCTGAACCAAATGCTTGCCAACCTTGAAAGTTATAAAAATAAGAGTTTCAATTACAGTTAGTCCTTGACTTATGACCATTCATTCAGCAACCATTCAAAGTTACAACAGCACTAAACAAATGGTGGTTACAACCAGTCCTCAGAGTTCCAGCCATCCCAGCACCCCCACGGTCACATGATTGTGATGTTGGCAACTGGCTTGCACTCACAATGGTTGCAGTGTCCCACAGTCATGTGATCGGCATTTGCGACCTTCCCTTCCGTCTTCCCCAGAAAGTCAACAGGGAAGCCAGCAGGGAAGGTTGGAAGCCACTGGGGTAAGTTTCCCCCAGCTGCGCACTATCCCCCAGTCCCTCTGTGCTCATGCCAAATTGGCCACTCGCACACCCCCATGCACCCTCCTCAAGCCTTGCTGTGCCTCTCCTGCACCCCTGTGCACTCTCTCTGACCCTCACCATGCCTCTTACACCCTTCCCGACCCTTGCTGTGCCTCTCTCACACACACCCTTTCGCCCTCCTCCACCTGGCAGCAGCCACTTGCCTACCAGCCTGTTTGCAAGCTGCCTGGGACTTGCAACTTCCTGCCAGCTTCCCCACTGAGTTTGGTTGTTAGAAGCTGGCAGGAAGTTGCCTCGCCTAATGACCATGGGATTCGGTTAACAACTGCAACCAGGACTGCAGGAATTGCTGTTGCTAAGCAGTGTGTTCACGCTTTATGACTGCATCATTTAGCAGTGGAAATTCTGGTCCCAATTGCTGTCGTAAGTTGAGGACTATATGTAGAGTACTTCATAATTCCCCAAAAGTGATGCCAGTTTTTGCCCATGGGAGTGATCCCCTTGCTCTCTACCATCACAGACTCTGAGTTAAAATCTTCTGCTTTCTTAGAGAAGAGACATGCGAGCCACATTTTTTTTGCATACCATAATTTGAACGTATACATTTTTTCCCACTTTGTTTGCATGTACATATGTATGTGTTTGTGTCTGAGAATGAATGAACGATTGTATTTCTTAACATTTCATATTGCTGCGAGATATCTCTGTGTCTCATAATTAATAGTAATTTTAATAATATTGTAGTACTAGAGGATCTGCATTCCAAAGAGATCTACACATCATTGTAGAGTTTTGGTGACTTTTTATAAATGTTTCATTGTACTTCTTGCTCCTTAAGCTATTGCAGACAAGTACAATTGGCACACTAGAGTTATTTCCTGCTTCAGTGCTTCAAACTTAGTCACAGAAGGAATCAAAAGCTTTGGCTTTCCTTTCCAGTAAGAGTATTTTGTTCTGCAAAAATGCCATAGAACTGATAGTGCTACTCTATACTGATAATCTGTATAACTTCTTTAAAAAGCTTAGTACAGCTTTAATAATAATAATAATAAAAGTATGCCTCTGAAGAATCTCTTTCACACCTATCTAATATTTCTGTAAAGAAATATACTTACATGCTGTTTAAGATGGAACTTAAGTTAACAGCAGCAAAATCAAGCAGTCAGAGGAGAGGAAACAGGCAAGGAGGTAAAGGCAACAACCAGACTTCTAAGCAACTAGAATCTTGATTTTACAAAGGCCTCTTAAATCTGAGCTCTGATTGGCCCGCCATAGATTCAAATGCTGGTCATTAGAAACTGTGTTCTGGTATTCTGCTGAGTAAGGCCTTATTTGTGAATAGTTATTAAAATTCACAAAGTGGCAGATGTTTCTTTGCTTGACCTCCGATTTGAATTCATTCTTCCTTCACTAAGGGGGAAAAATTTTTAGTACAAAAATCCAGCATCTGTACATTAGTACAAAATGTACAACATCTGTACATTAGTACAAAAATCCAGCATCTTCACTGTTGCCTTTTATTGAGAAAATTCAAGAATATTTCTCCAAGTTCAGAATCCAGCCCAGACAGGGTCTGGCTACTTGGAGCGCATTCAGCTAAAATCCAAGGGTTCCTTTTGTAACACTTTCACTCCATACACAATTGATGCATTGTCATTTGTTTTTTATTGTTGCAGATTAGTATTCTTTTTAAATGAAAATAATCCCCTTTGGGTTGCTTGCCTGCTTAGCTCTGGCAGGAAGACAAATTATTTTTACAGTATCAGACATGTGGTTTCCTGTCTGTGTTTAACGCTGAGCAGAACATCATGGCCAGCTGGTCCACTACTCCTCCAGACAACTAGAGAATATCCTGCAATAATTTTGTCTGTTGGACTGTCATCCAGATGTACCCTTCACATGCTCTTGCCCTACCCATGCAGGCGCCTGCTGCTGTTTGCCTGGTGGAGTGCAGATTTTCTTGTATGTCTATGTAGATTTTTCTCGCCCTATTTAATTCAGATAAAAGTGGTCCATTTGTTTCAGCTATAGCCTACAGAAGGCAGCAAAGTGAATTGCATTAACACAAATGAATGTTAAATCAAGGTGCTGGTCCACTGGATTATTTTATCTTTCTTTCCTCTTAATTTACTATCAGTTGTAAATGCCCAGCTGTTGGAGATATATCAAAACACTGATTTATGTAGGAATAGCAAAAAGGCATATTTGTTTTGGGCTTAAAGAAAAAAATTATGAATGCA